AAAAAAAAAAAGTTGCCCTGCAGCTTCGAGTCAAAAACAAAAGCCTGGCGCTGCGAGAGGAGAAAGAAAAAAAATTCTCGATAACGTTCCGTTTATCTTGATCGCGCTGCACAAGCGGATAGAACCGATCGGCTTCGGGTAGCTCCAAAAGAAACAAAAAAGCTTGAAAAAAATCAAAAGCGAAAGTGCTCAGGAACAGACGGAAACGGAGGCGTTGGGCAGCCCGTCGTCCCCGCTCGCGGAATGGCCTGCTCGAGTCGAGTCGAGTCGAGTCGAGTCGACACGCGGCGGGGCGTGGTTTTTGACTCCCCGCTGCTTCCCCCTTGCTTCCATGGGCCCGAATCCAAGTGCGTCCGTCCGCGCCTGTTGGTGCCTGATGGACCGGATCGGAGTGAGCTGCAAGGAGCGTAGGTAGTCTCCCACCCCTGGTCCTGCGCCATGATCAGTACAATTTGCGCCTTTGTCATGCAGGGTCGCCACCCTGGGAGTGTTGAAAGGCGACGAGTCCAAATGAGCAGCGTGGCGTGCAGCCCGAAATGTCCCCGCCCCGCCCCGCCTTGGCCCCGCGTTGGCCCCACAAGTCCTGCTCACCGTCAGCGGCACGGAAGCGCTGCACAGGGCGGACTTGGTACAAGCAGCAGTATCGCAGCCAAGCTCGTGCATCTGTGTAAGAGGGAGGATGATACTGCATCGGGCCTCTTTCCGATCGGGCTGGCGACTCGTTCGGCATCAACGATCCAAAGTCGCTTGCAGAGGTCCACTCTTCAGTACGAGATCCTGGTGGCGACGCGATGATGGCGAACGAACATTCGGATTGAGATACAAATACAAAGAGCATGGTCATCGATGCAGCAACCGGCCGGGTGTACGAGTCGCGACGCGGGCTATGCGTCCTGGATGTTGTGAAGCTGCTTGAGCTCGGCGAGCTCGGCCTCTCTTCGTTCGAGGTCTGCCTTCGCAGCCAGTCTTGCGGGCATGTGTGCCAATACTGTAGATGCGCACCGAAATATCATCAGCAGCTGTTACGAGAGCATGGGGACTCTGCCATACTTACCGACGAGGTAGCGGTCGTTGAGGTGGAAGCCGTTGAGGTTGTCGAGGGCGCGCTTTGCATCGGCCATCTCCTGGTACACGACGTACGCCGTGCCCTTGGTCTTGGGCGCGTCGCCGATGCGGATCTGACGGATGGCTCCGTAGCGTCCAAACACGTTGTACAGGTCGGCGCCGGTGGTGTTGTAGTTGAGGTTCTTGACAAACACGATGCGCGTGTGCTGACGCGCACCGCCGATGTGGCTCGACATGCTGACCCAGCCGCGCGCGTCCAGTTCGCGAAGCAGAGCTGGCTCACGGAGCTGCCACACGAATTCTCTAGCAAGTCTGACCAGATACGATGTGGGCGAGATCTAGAAAGTGCGCCAGACAGAGATGATGGCAGCCTGGAAGCCACGGCGCAGCAGATAGAGAGCAAAGGTGGAGTGAGCAAAGGTCCGGGTTCCGAGCGTGGAGAGCTGAGTTGCATCGCCGATGAGAGACGAAAAAACAGGTGCCGATGTTAAAGTTCAGCGCGGCGTCTGCTTTGGCCCCGGCTACACAAAAATCGAGCTGGGAGTGCAGCAACGGCTGCTGCCATTGCCGAAGCTCCGGCCCGCCATTCGCCGCCCCCGGCCATCCACGACAAGCACACTGTCCTTTACCCCGTCCTGCCTTCTTGACTTTGTCCCCACACACATCTCCTTATTCCTGTGGCCATTGCCGTGCATCTCACCTCATTCTCACCTTGACCGTCAAGATGGCAACTGCTCAACCCAACACCCGCGTGATCGTGTACGGCTATGGCGCGTCGCCCTTCTGGCAAAAGATTACTTTTTTGCTGGACCACTACGGTGTCGAGTGGACGCAGGTGGACGTGCCTCCGGTCATGCCTCGTCCCATGCTGAGCAAGCTTCTGGGCATCACCTACCGTCGCATTCCCGTCGTATTCATCGACGGCCACGCCTACATCGACACCACGGCTGCCTCGCTCGCGCTCGAGCGTACGTTTGGCAAGGGCGACCGATCTCTGCTTCGCCAGTTTCCTGCGCTGCAGCTGCAGCTCGCAGTGCACTGGGCCGAGAGCGCGCTCTTCCGACTGGGCGCGGGACACCTGTACAATGCGCCGCTGAACGAGGTGTTTGTCAAGGACCGACAATCGTTCATGCCCGGAGCGAGCTTTGAGGGCGAGGCGATGAAGAAGCGCATCCCTTTTATTCGATCGCAGCTCGTGGCGAGCATGGAGGCGATCGAGTCGCAGCTGGGTGAGGGCCGCGGCAAATTCCTGCTGGGAGACGAGCCGCAGTACCTCGACTTTTGCGTATTCACGCCGCTCAACTGGGTGCAGACGCAGCTGCGCACGGGCGAGGATCTGCTGCCCACCGTATCAGCCAAGAACCCGCAGCAGGACTGGACCAAGTTCCGATTCCCAAAGACGCTCGCGTGGCTCGCAGAGGTGCGTGCCTACGTCGCCAAGAACAAGGTGAAGCCCGGCAAGCTCTCGGCCGAGGACGCGGCCAAGGCGGTGCTGCAGCAGGCAGAGGCAAGCTCGGCCAAGGACGAGGGCGCACTCAAGGTGAGCAGCGACGACCCGCTCGCCAAGGCCGGATGGATCAGCGGCAACAAGGGCCAGAAGGTGAGCGTGACGCCCGTGGACACCGGCAGGGTTCCCCAGCTGGGCTCGCTCGTCGGCTTGGACAACGCCAGCGTGACCATCAAGATCGAGGCGCAGCAGGGCAAGCACATCCTCGCCACCTTCCCGCGCGTCAACTTTGACATCCGCGCCACCGATGCCGCCAAGCTCTAACTTGAGCCGCTCAACCTCTGAGGCGGCCAAATGCTCCATCTAGATCTGAATTATCCGGACATCGATGTTTAAAGTAGACTGTTCGAAATGCCAAAAGCTTGCTTCCGGCAAGCAGATGATAATGATAAGCTCGTCGATTGAGTTGTGGTGGGGCTCAGAGAAGCTTGCCTATTCGCTCACGACTTGTCGGCATTGACGTCGCCTTTAGGAGCAGGCGGTGCTTTTTATCGGGCGGGACAGCCCTGTGGCGCGCTCCGAGCAGCAGTCAAAGTGTTGGCCGCATCCGTGCGCATTTGGGCGTGCGAGGCGGCGCTTTGGACCCTGAATTGGCTGCTCAGGGGAGAGGCGCGCGTTGCTGCTCTCCTCAACCTGTCAATCCGCGCTGCGTCGAGCGTTGGTGCAGCGGCGATGCTGCAGCCGCGCCCCTCCTCCCCCCCCCCC